AAAAGTAGAACATAGGTTGAAAAAATTTAGAACATAGAGAAAAAAAAAACACTTTAGAACATAAGTAGACTAAATTTAGAACATGGGAAAAAAAAAATTAGAACATAGGTAAAAGAATATTTAGAACATATAATAAAAAAAAAAAAAAAAAAAAAAAAAAAAAAAAAAAACACTTTAGAATGTAGGTAGTAATAATTTAGAACATAGGAAAAAAAAACTTTAGAACATAAGTAGACTGAATTTAGAACATAGGCAAAAGAATTTAGAACATAGGTAAAAGAATATTTAGAACATAGAAAAAAAAAATTAGAACATAGGTAGAATAATTTTAGAACATAGGAAAAAATTAGAACATAGGTTGAAAAAATTTAGAACATAGTAAAAATAAACTTTAGAACATAAGTAGACTAAATTTAGTACATATGGAAAAAAAAAATTAGTGTATAAGTTTAGAACATAGAAAAAAATTTAGAACATAGGTAGAAAAATTTTAGAACATAAGCCGAAAAAAATTTGGAACATAGGAAAAATAAATTAGAATATAAGCAAAAAAAATTAGAACATGTGCAAAAAAAATTAGAACATGGGAAAAAAAATTAGAACATAGGACAAAAATTTAGAACATAGAACATGGGAAAAAAATTTAGAACATAGGAATTTTGAACTCAGGCGGAAAAATTTAGAACATAAGAAAAAAAAAAAAAAAAAAAAATTACAACATACATAGGGAAAAATATTAGAATAAAGGAAAAAGTTTAGAACATAGAAAAAAAATTTAGAAGACAGGAAAAATCTTAAACATATATATAGAATGTAAGGGAATTTTTTTTTAAAATAGGAATATAAACATAGGAAAAATTATTTAGAACATAGGTAGAAAAAATATTTTGAACATTTTTTAGAAGATTGAAAAAAAAGCTTAGAACATAGGGTTGAATTACAGTGCATTAATCGTTGGGCATGCTAAAACCTATTAGCTCAAGTGGTAGAGCACTATGCAGATGCATAGAGATGTAGGTTCGATTCCTACATAGGTTATCTCTAAAAATAACCAAAAAAGATCATAAAAAAATTAAATAGGACTAAGTTATATGAACAAAAAATGCCTATGGAAACTATGTTACAACAAAACTCTTAAACATACACTTGTCTCCACATTACACAAATCAACCTACGTGGGATTCGAACCCACATTTTTTGTGCATTTGCACAATGCTCTACCCGTTGAGCTAGTAGGCTAATGTATATAAAATATTAAAATAAATATAAATCTCGAGCTTACCTAATGTATCAAATTATCTTTCAAAAAAAAAAAAAACGTATCAAATTAAAAATAATATAAGCAATTGTTGGACAATAAGAGAGTGGCCATGTTCGAGTTTACATCATGTGACTTCAATTTTTACCGGTGAATGATATTGACAAGGTTTAGATTGAAATTTTAGACAATCATGAGATTCATGACAGTAAAAACATGTCTAAATATTTAGCTTTGTATGTGTCATTAACTCATTATCACTTTATCATCAAGTCACTCTGCTAGCAATAGCATCAGCTTAGTCAATAGGGAAGGTCGCATTCAGAAAGTTCCCAATTATCATTATCAAAATCATCATCTTCCTTCTTTGTAGTATTAATATTATTCTATTTTGTAACTCTTGGTGGGAAAATAAATAGAGACATGAACACAAAAACCATCACATACAAAATCCCATCACATCAACTAATATATAGTATACCACACTTACACAAGCACGAATATATAAAAAAACCATAGGTAAATTTTAGAATATAGTTGGAAAAATTTAGAACATAAAATAAAAACTTTAGAACATGTAAGCAAACTTTAGAATATAGGAAGTAAACTGAAATTAAAGCATTAAAAACAACTAAAATTACCCGAATGAGTAACAGGGGAAAAAGGAGAATCATGTTCTAAATTTTTTCTTATTTTCTAAATTTTTTTCCAACGTTCTAAATTTTGTCCTATGTTCTAATTTTTTTTTTCCTATGTTCTATATTATTTATTGTGAAAATGGAAGAATTTTTTTTGATACCTATATTCTAAATTTTTTTCCTATGTTTTACAAAAGAACCTACGTGGGATTCGAACCCACATCTTATGTGCATTTGCACAATGCTCTCCCGTTGAGCTTGTAGGCTAATGTATATAAAAGCTTTAAACTACAAAAATTACTAAAAACTAAATAAATAAAAAAATCTCAAAAGTAAATTATGCATAAGCAGGTTACGACAAAGAAATAGAAATGACTAGATGAACATATGCAATGATATTTTAGAACACATGCAATAAAAGTTTGAACAACGTACCAATAATAATCGAAAAAATTGATTATATTCTTTAGAACATAGTAAGATAACTTTAGAACATAGATTGAAAAACTTTAGAACATATAAAGAAACTTTAGAACATAAGTATTAAATCCACCATTGCTTTGTTCTAAATAATTTAGAACATACTAAACTAATTTACAATTTACATAATTCATTTAGAATTTTTGAAATTACATAATTAGCTGCAAAACACAATAGTCAGATTACATTTTGCACGGATCTACAATAAATCATGGAAAACTGAAAAAATTTCTAAGCTACACAAGTCTCAGCCTCGGGTACTACACGACAAGTACCTTCACAACACCAACATGTCTATCTGCACTACTGACATGAACAATAAAGATCCCTCTTCACAAATTTTGGGTCACACTAATAAAGAACTTCAGGAGTTGCATAAAAATAAAAATAAAAATAGAACAGCAGCTATTGTCTTTGATCGCTAGATGAAATATTGAAATGCATAAAACAATTAAGCTACCATGAGTCGCTATGCATAACAGATTAACACCACCAAAACACCAACCACATCAAAATACACAAGCACATGTTAGTCTGGGACTAAGGATCTTGCCTCTTAGGCGCTTAGCATCTCAGGAGGAACTATTGATTAAAATTAACATAGCAAACCATTTCAAACACTATGATCATCGAACATTGAAATATCCAAAATGCTCCCAGCACGTCAATTAAAATCATGTCCAAAAAAAAAACTAAGATATACAATTGAAACTTAATATTCAAGCTACATAGTTTGGAGTGTTTTCCAACAATTAGAGACAAGAATCGAAACACCATAAGAACCCTTTCACAAAATAACACCACTCACCAGGCTCCTGGTGGAATCCATCAACATCACTTATGACCCAAACATACCATTAAACTAGCCGCCAGCAAACATCAACCTTAAACTTAAACAATAGAGGTCCAAGGAAATTACTAAATTTTTTCTATGTTCTAAATTTGAAATACATCAACCTTAAGAAGAAGAGGAAAAAAAAACTAATAGGATGAACAACCATATAATCGAACACATATGTATGATGAAATCGCAAAAAATCAAACTGGTGAAATCGCAAAAATTGAACTAATTAATTCGAACAAAATCAAAAGATGAAATCGCAATTAAAAAAAAAAATCGATATGAGGCTGATAATCACAATAATAATCCAAATTAGCAATCATAATCACAATAATAAAACAACGTACCAATAATAATCGAAAAAATTGATTATAATCGCAATTTTGTTGAAAAGATCCGTAAAAATGCAAAGATTTTCGGCTAAAATAACAAACACAAATTTAGCAAAATAATTGCAATTAAAAGAAACTGAAAAGTGATCGGAAAAAAAATCGCAAATAAACACCAGAAAATCGAAAATGTGACGAAAGAAACGAATAGTTTTGCAAAATATATAATTGCAAACTCAGCACAAATATTCAACATATATAATCGGAAATTGAAAAATAAACAAATGCTAAGAAACCATACATCCAAAATAATCGAAATATACAAAGAAATTTGATCAAATTGATAAACTTACAATGATTTACGGCATAATCACAGGAAAAATAGGAGAGAGAAAGCTTGGAAAATTAGGAGAGAGAAAAATATAGGAGAGAGAAAATGTTGGGGTCATTGAAATGTGAATGAGGAAGAAAGAAAGGGACTTAAGGGAGTTAAAAAACATGATATTACAAAAATGCCATTATACTAAGGGCAATTTCAGCGGTTGATTAAATCTCATCCTACGGCCCAGATGGGTTCTTATATAAAATGAGTTCTTATATAGAAGAGGGTTCTTATATGAGTCTTCCTCTCTCTCTCTCTCTCTCTCTCTCTCTCTATATATATATATATATATATATATATATATATATATATATATATATATATATATATATATATATACTCCCTCCGTTTCAGGTTATTCGCAACAAACTAGGGAGTTGCGGACTCCTAGGCAAAAGATCTTAAGCTTGATTATTGAAAAATTAGGGATACACTCCAACCCAAAACCAACACCTAGCCCCACCACCAACAGTCCACCTACCACCACCAACACCTACCACCACCAGTTCACCACCGAGCACACCCGAAACCACCCAACACCACCATTTAGAACCACGAAACCACTGCACCCACCACTAGGAAACCAGCAAACACCGAACCCACTACAATCCACCACCACCCACAACCCTGAACTCAACCCACGAATCCGCCACCACCCACAAATCCATCGAACATCGAACCCACTACAACCCACCACCACCCATTACAACCGACGAACCCTAGCTAAACTCATAATTCGAAATCCGCCACCACGAATCCACAACCGATCATCTTCACAAATCCACAACCCATCACACCCACGAATCCGCCACCAACAAGGAATCCATAACCCATCACCACCCACGAACCCAAATTTCGAACCCCACCCACGAACTTAAATTTCAAACCCACCACCACCACACATACCCAGATTTCGAACCCAAAACCCACAAGCGAGGGCAACCGACAGCGGCGTGATTTCCGGCGAGGTGTTTCGGTCGAATTGAGGGTAGATCGGCGAAGAAAGAGAGAATTTCTGGGTATGGTGGTGGTGATGTGTAGTAGTGGTGATGGTAGTGGTGGTGAATTTAGTTGGGAGGGGAATGATTTGGGTGGAAATGATTAAATGTAGAGTTTAAGTTAATGAGATAAAAACAATAGTTTAATTAAGGTGTTTAAAAACAAAAGTAAGGGTAATTTAGTAAAATCACCCTTAAAAACTTACTAAAAAAGGAAAAAAAAATTGTTGCGAGTAATGTGAAACATCCATATTTAGTAATTGTTGCGAGTAATATGAAACGGAGGGAGTATATAGAATCAGGATCATGTGAGAACCTAGGTGTATAATAAGAACTAATAACTAATTTACACCGTCGATCGCGATTCATCTAACGGCCGAAATTCTACCCGCCTCATTAAGGGCAAAATAGAACAATCGGCGCTTTGAATGACCACCCATACATTTCCGGCGTTTCCTTTTCACTTTCTCTCTCATCTTCATGCTTTCTCTCTCTTCTCTTGAATTCTCTTTGCTGCGATTTTACTTCTTCGATTTCGCATATGAAAATCTTTGATTCGGTCTGTGAATTCTTCGATTAGCTATAATCTAGTTATTTTGGAGAGGTGAATATTTTGATTTTTTCTTTGTTCATGGCTTGCTATTTTTAAACAGGTAATTTGTTTGAATTTGTCTTTTTATCCAATTAGTTTCGTGTAATTAATTCGAGTTGGAAGATTGGGGGTTTTCGATATTTTTGGTTGAAAATGTTCGATTTGCTTAATTTGTGCAGCCTTTTTAGGTTTTGGTTGAAATTTTACTTTATATCCTTATTTAATCGATTTAGTGCTAACTATTATGATATTTCTATGAAGTTTCTTTTGTTTTAGGGTTCTAATGGTGCTATATTGTTTTGAGATTTTTTTAATTTTGTTTCTAAAATCAGGTTTTACATTTTTTTTTTTATTTAGTAATGTACAATTTCGCTAATTTTTTTGTGAAATTATTGCGAATTTTGGAATCTAACTCTTCTCATGATTGTTTTTTTGACAAGCATTAATTTGGAGGACATTTGTTTACTTTGCAGGTGTAATAAATTGATTTATTTGCTTCAATCTACTAACTTCAATTGCGTAAGATCTTTCTCCTTTTTTAATTTTTGTTTGTTTGTCTATATCATAGCTTCATATGCTGATGTTGTTGTTTTAGGTGTGCCTCACTGTAATGGGTAGTACTTAATTCCAACTTTGTGTTGATTAGTAAAATTGATAAAAAGAGATAAATTTTTATTAGTACTTAATTCTGGTGGGATATCAGGGAATGAAGAATGCTGATGTTGTTCTTTTAGTTATGTTTCATTTTTTTAGCTGCCACATTCTTATTATTTTTTTTATTTACTTTTTGTGCTTCTTTATTTACTTTTTAATTAGAACCATCTACTTTTGGTGTACTGCTGGTTTATTTGATTATGTGTTGAACTTTTTGTATTTTAATGTTGTATTTGTGGAGTTCCCCTGATGCTTGGTAGTATGGTAGATTGGTCCTGGTTAGCCATTTATAGTTAACCTTCACATTTATCTCTGTAACCTGATATGTCAATAAGGTGTATGTGGGATGGTTAAAGCTTTAATTTGCTAATCTGGATTTTACGAGGGAATGCAACGTTGCTACTAATGCAATGGTTAGACATATGGTCTCATAGTAGCTGTTATGATTTGTTGGCCGATTCACCAACTTCCTCTACTGATTAGTTTTTGTAGGCTGCAAACAGGCTAGACAAAAAAGAACTGAGTCTAATCTGTACTCTGAGTTAGGCATCTTGGTTTTGCAAGAATATGAGAGTCCATCAAGAACCAATGTCTGACCCCTGCATTGTGGTTGAGTGCTTCTGTCTTGCCAAGGTTGCTGCAGCTATTGCCCTGCCATGGCTTGCTGCTTCTGCCACCTACTGTTGCTATGCTACTTTTTCTCTACCGCCTACTGCTGCTATGCTACTTCTTCTCTACCGCCTGCTAATGCGAATATGTGAAAGCCTTGTATAGTCGTATTATATTTTTGGATGAATTTTGTAATATTACAGAAGTTGAGTGTTAATATAAATATCCAAGTTTATATATATCTTGCATCAATGCATTAACTCACCTTGATAAAAACCTTTATAATTCACAGTTATAAATCAGGTTATATATTTTTTTATTACTTTTCATTTTCTTTTGTTTACTTTAGATCAATTATTTATTACTTTCTTAATACAAGCCTACTAGCTCAACAGGTATAGCATTGTGTAATTGCACAAAAGATATGAGTTCGAATCCCACGTAGGTTCATATAAGCTTATTAGTACAACTCTTCTTCTTTTGGTCAGAGATAGTAGAAGTGAGTTATTTAATTTTAATACTAGCTTTGTTATTAAAGATATAGAAGTGAATTATATATTTACTTTTTTTTAGGGAAATTATTTATTTACTTTTGAATTATTATGATTTACTTTTGAGATATATTTATCAACTTTTGATTTCTATTTGAGTTATTTTGATTTCTTTTCGAGCTATTATAGTTTACTTTATAGATATTTTTATTTACCTTTATGTTTATTGTATCTACTTTTGAGATATATTATGTACTTTTATGATTTTTTTATTTACTTTTGAGTTATTTACTTTTACGACTTTTTTTATTTACTTTTGAGTTATTTTTCTGTACTTTGGTTTTTTAATATACACTAACCTGCTGGCTCAATAGGTAGAGCATTGTGCAATGGACAAAATATGTGGGTTCGATTTCCACGTAGGTTTATTTATTACATATAAGATTATTTTTTATTTACTCCATTTTGACATTTTTTTTATTTAATTTTAGAATATTTCGATTTACTTTTTAGTATTTTGTATCTACTTTTGAGATATATTGGAGGATGACTTCAAAGTATGAATTTTTTTTAAATTCTGATTTTTTAAAAGCTAATTTAGTTACTTTATTGCTATTTTTATTTACTTTTGTGAAAATTTGAGTTACTTTAGTGTGTATTATATATTTTTAGAGATAACCTATATAGGAATCGAACCTAAACCTCTATACATCCGCATAGTGCTTTACCACTTGAGCTAATAGGTTTAGCTTAAGTCTATTTTATTTACTTTAGATTCTTTTTTATTTACTTTATAGCACTATTTGTTTGCTGTAGAGTAATTATGATTTACTTTTGACATATATTAATGTAATATTTTTAGTTTTCTACTTTTGAGATATTTTGAATAACTTTAGAGTGTTTGTTATTATTGTTTAAGATAACCTATGTAGGAATTAAACCTACACTTCTATGCATTCGCATAGTGATCTACCACTTGAGCTAATAGGTTTACTTTAAAGTCTTTTTTATTCACTTTTGGAGTCTTTTTTATTTATTTTTAGACACAATCTATTTTTTTGTCTTCCCAACTTTTCCAATTGGACCTGTTTCAGCAAAAAGTTGATTAAGACCAATTCACTTCCTATGGCTATTGCAGTACCCTAGTTTTCACCAGTTATCATGATGCTTGTGATGCCCATAGATTGGAGATATCTAATGACATGACCTGCCTCCAGCTTCACTGGATTAGTCACAGCAACCTAACCTTGCCATCAATGGTAACTAACACACAAGTTTGAGCTAATTTTTTTTAAGATATACTTATTGACTTCATGGTTGATTGGAACATTATGTACCTGTAGGAGCCTCTTGTTTCTTACCAAAACTATCTTCTCACCGACCTTTCCACCAACTCCAGCTGTAGGATGCGCCTCAAATCCTTTACATCTTCAACATGGTCAGCCAATGATTCACGTTTCTTACGCTGAACCTTAGCGTGTTCAGCCACGCTTTAGCTAGGGGGTGCTCGATGTTTTATTGCAAATCCTTTGTAGGTATTTTTGGAGCATTTATCAAACAAATCAGAGCAAATGAGCAATATATAGAAAAGCAAAACATTAGAATCAATAAAAGAAAAAACACTTTCTGCTGCCCCAACATGGCCTACTATTGCAGCTGCTGCTATGCTACTTGTGCTTTGTTGCCTGCTGCTATGCTATTTCTGCTCTGCCGCCTACTGTTGCTATGCTACTTGTGCTCTGTTACTTGCAGCTGTAAATGCTTCTCAGGAGTTCTTAGAGAGTTAGAGTTGAGCAAAACCAAAAGTTGCTGTAAGCAAGAGTGCATCATGTGCACCTTAAAACCTGTGAGGAGTAGCAGAAGCATGAGTAGAAGTAATATTATTTATTTACTTTTAATGATGTTTTAATTTACTTTTTAGCCTTTTTATTTACTTTTGAGCTAGATATCCAGATCTCTTGTATGCAAATATTTTGCAATTACACAATTTGTAGGATAGTTGATGCTGAAGTAAGTGGAAAGAGGTTAGCTTTCATATTAAATTTTTTTTACAATGTGCAGAAGATACTAATTTCTATCTTTTAAGCTAATTTAATTTACTTTATTGCTATTTTTGCTTACTTTTGCGAATATTCGAGAAGATGAGCAACGTCCCTGTAATGTTTCCCATGTCATGGTCAAATAGGAATTTGGGTTATTGAAAATTTCCCTTTGAGCATCAGCACTTGGACGATTTTTCGAGCCACAGAATATGCATCACACTCCAGCTCTATGTGCATATATCCCAATTTCCTAGCCACTTGAACCCCAAACCTCGCAGCAGCAACTTCCGCCATTTCCACCTCCCATCGACCTTGAATTCTCATTGTTGCAGCAGCAGCAACAATTCTGCCAGCATTGTCCCTCAAGATCACACCCAAACCCATCCATCTTCCTGCTGATATGTGTGCATCTGAGTTTATTTTGATGTGGCCAGCTGTAGGAGGATTCCAGCGATCACTCCCCATCCCAAAAGCTGCTGACAGTGGCTTAAGAACTCGTCCAGCATATTCCATATAATCCCACAGCATTTTTGAATAGCCTGCAGCAACCTGTACAGGGTAATCGACAGGGTCATCTTCCAGCAATGAATCTAAGTTAGAGAGATAAGTGGCATCTTGCGCCAGCTTTGTGATGATACCGCTGTTATCTGACTCAAGAATAATGTTCCTGTACCCATTCTGCTTAGCGAGTTTGACAGCAAATGGAGCAGCATTGCATTCTGCTATCTCTAGCGACTAGTGGCCCTTCACACATCTTGTGCCAGCAAAGAGAACATTGCCTAGGTGGTCACGAGCTATAGCTCCAAGACCAATCCAGCCTTCAGAGCTCAAGGAGGCATCACAGTTAACTTTGACACATCCTTGGGCAGGTGCTATCCAGCATTTTGGGCTTTTATTTTTGCTCGGACTCTTGCAACCATAAATATTCTCATTGTATTTATTATAATCCTCAACGAGCTGATGCATTCTAGCAATAACAGTATTGTGGGGAGTCCCATTGTTGTTAAATACCTTGTTATTGCGTCTAGCCCAAATAAGCCACAGTAAAGCAGCGCCTTTTTGCTGGAGCTTCACGTTCTCTTTACCCCAAGCTTCAATCAGATTCTCGAAGTCAGAAAAATAGTTTGTAAGGACTAGCTTTTCGCAATTAGCCTCAGTCCACAGATCTCTAACAGCAGCACACTCAAAGAAAGCATGACTGAGAGTTTCAGGATTCGACCCACACCATGGACACATATCATCCTCTATCATATGTCTATGTTTAAGGAGAGCACGAACAGGGAGAGAACTGGTGCATAGCCGCTGTAAGAGATGTCAACAAAACCACACATTTCATTTACTTTAAATATAACGTCATTAACTTTACGTATAAAAACATTCACTTTACCAAAAAAAAAAAAAAAATATAGTCAACAAAACTCTGCCCATATCTAATAAAGAGCTAATCAGTTAGTTCTAAATAAACTTTACCTTAAATTATGTACCTGTATCTCCAGATTATGCACATATGTAAGCTATAAAATTCTCTTAAAATTTTATCTACTTTAAGAGCAATTTAATCTACTTTTAAATATATATTATTTACTGCATACTCCTTGTAATCGTGCAACATTTTGGCATAACTTGAAGCACTATGACAGGATCAGCTACGTAACGTAGCTTCCCTTGGTGTGTTTTCTCATTCCCAAGCCAACACACAAAATAAACCAACTCTTTTTTATCAATGACATGCAGTTTTAATAATTCGCGACCCTAACCTGTTAAACAGACCCCATGACTCCAACATCCCAACTCTGCCATTGCTCATTAAACACAACAGAGTTCCTGTCAGACCACTCACCCAACACCAAAGACACAAACAAACATAAAAAAGTCCTCATTGTATGCATTAGTTTACTTTAAGAGATGATTAGTATACTTTAAGAGAGATTTAGTTTACTTTTATGAGGTTTATACTTGATTAAATAAGTTATCTAAATGAAATGCACCTCTGATGGAACATCAAATGTGTTTAAGATTTATAACAGTTGATATGCAAAGTTACAAATTAAGAACCTTCATTTATACTAATTAAATTATTAAACAATAAAATCACTGAAACAAAAAAACAGAAAAATTATACTCCGTAGTAAATTTCAGAAATATTACTCAATTTCGCGTAAAATTTCAACTTTAAACACCTTCAATTACGCACAACCTCAATCTCTCACAACTTCATTTTGAACAACTTCAAATTTCAGCAGATTTCAACCTGAAAACACTAAAATAAGTTAGTAATTGCATAAATAAGAGTTTAAACTTTATAATCTTCAAAGATTATCACAGCATTATAAATCTAATTCAAATTAAAATTTTAAAATAGTACCAAAATTTAATAAATCAAAGAAAAAGATGGTGGCGATATTGTAGCAAAGGTCAATGAAACAAAATAAGTAGGATAACTCTTTTTGGCTTTCTGTTGTCAATCAAGCTGCCATGTTTTGTAGAGAATACAGCACCGGAACATAAGCAAGTGGCATTCAAATTTATGGTTGAAGATTAATGAAAAAAAATTATCTACTATAATCTATTTGATTATCTACTTTGAGAGGAGTTTGGTTTAGTGTAAAAGATATCTAGTTTAATTTAAGTAGAATTACATTAAAGGCCACTTATAAGTTAAAAATTCAGCCCACACAAAACTTCAGTCTCCTCTCAGAAATCTTGCTGCCAGCTTTTCCTACACCCCAAAACTAACGCTAACCTACACCACACCACAACAACAACACAAAATAGTCTACAAGCTACTATCTTCCTTCCTCCTAGCCTCCTTTAAAGTTTAAACCTCAAAACCTCCTGCCATCTACAAAAACAAACATAGCAGCATTTATTTTAAGCTAAATTCCCCACAATAAACCCCAAAACAAATCCCGCCAGCTCTTATTCTTGAAAATAGTAACAATGGAATTCAACCTTTCAAAAAAAGAGCATGAAGAATTGTCAGGAACAACTAAACAAAGGGGGGAAACATACCATATCATCCGAGCTTCAGTACACTGAAAAAGAGCATACATTACCGTTTCCTGGGCCTCTCCGCAATACGGACATACAATGTAAATAATAGTTTTACCTAGAAAAACAACATTGACAATCATTTCAACCCAACCAGCTTCCAAAAGTAGTCCAAATTAGCTAAAATAACTGATTATATATCAAAATGTCAATTTACATTACAATATAATTGATTTACTTTTACTTTGTTTCTATCTACATTTTCAATTGATTAAATAATAAGATTCATTGATGCATTTTCTCAAACAGTTAGTGTGCACTCAAAAAATTTATACGCACCAACTTATCCTCTATCTCCCAAACCTTGGCAAATTCACCTAAAATCATTCCAAAAATAACACATATTTAATAATAATAAATTTGTACAAAGAATGAACTTAAAGTATATTCATTCCAAACTAACCAAATTTCACAAAAAAAATAAATAAATAAATAAATAAAAAATTATGAGAACAAAGTTCCTAGCAAGAGCAATACCGTGTTTTGAACTTTCATTTCGAGTGATATTTGCAGCACAGTCCAGTCAAATTTGCAAAGAATTGTTACAAGCTAGCTAGCTTATAAACCTAGAAATAATAATGCTAATTGAGCTATAATTGCAATAAGAATAAATAAATTAAACTTTTTATGAAACAATTAAAAGTAATTTAAAATCAATCATAACCTTGAATTGTAAATTAAAATCCAATTTTCTCTATGAAATTGATGAAGCTCGTTGATTTAAGAAATAGAAGAAAAAAAAACTTGCCTCAAATGCCGTTCAAAATTCAGAGTCGCTGAAGAAATTTGACCTGAATTCACCAAATTAAACAAAGAAAAATTGAATTTCCAATAAGATCTTGACGAATTTGAAGCAATATCAACAAGATTTAGACAATTTTGCAGCAAATTATACCCAATTTAATAGAGAAAGCTCATTGCAATGGAGGAGAGAGAAAGTGCGTGGAAATGAATTGAATGTGCGTGATTTAATCTGAGCTGTCGATCGGGCGCGTTTTTTGTGTTAGATTTGGCGGTCTAGATTAGTTCATAGTTTCTATTGTAGGATTGGTTCTCATTATACCCTGGTCCTATATATATATATATATATATATATATATAGGAAGGCTTATGTAAGAACCCTACTCTATATAAGAACTCAATCTTATATAAGAACCAATCTCAGCCCTTTATTAGTTTTGATCTAACCATCTAAAATGAATTTTTAGTAATAGCATTTATGTAATTTTAAAGAGTTTATATTTTGAACATATTAAAAATTTTAGAACATAGGAAAAAGTTTAGAACATAAGCTCAAAAAAAATTTAGAATATAAGCAGAAAAAATTTAGAACATAGAAAAAAAATTTAGAACATAAGCAAACAAAAGTTTAGAACATAAGTTGAAAAAATAATTTGATTTATTTTTATGTTTTACTCTTAAGTTATTATGGTTTACTTTTGAAAGTTTTATTATTATTTTTTTATAGAGATAACCTATGTAGGAATCGAACTTACATCCTCTATGCATTTGCATAGTGCTCTACCAATTGAGCTAATAGGTTTTAGCATATATTTTTTTTTCCATATACCTACGCCTTTTATATGTTCTAAATTATTTTCCTACTATCTTTTTCATCCATTACTTTAAATTTTTCCGTCTATACTTTGAATTTTTTTGTATATTCTGAAAATTTTCACCCAATATTCTAAATTTTTTCTATCTATAATCTTAAAATTTCTCACTTCTATATTTTTTCACCCTATGTTCTAAACTTTTTTCCCTATGTTCTAAATTTTTTCACCCTGTATTCTAAACTTTTTTCCCTATGTTCTAAATTTTTTCACCCTGTATTCTAAACTTTTTTCCCTATGTTCTAAATTTTTTCACCCTATGTTCTAAATTTTTTCCCCTATGTTCTAATTTTTTTCACCTTATGTTCTAAACTTTTTTTCCTATGTTCTAAATTTTTCACCCTATGTTCTAAACTTTTTTTCCTATATACTAAATTTTTTCACCCTATGTTCTAAATTTTTTCTCTGTGTTGTAAACTTTTTTCGCCTTATGTTCTAAACTTTTTCCCTATGTACTAAATTTTAGAACATAAGGGAAAACTTTAGAACATAAGGCGAAAAAATTTAGAACATAAGGGAAAAAGTTTAGAACATAAGGGAAAACTTTAGAACATAGGGAAAAAGTTTAGAACATAAGGGAAAACTTTAGAACATGAGGGAAAAATAATACATAAACTTTAATTACCTTTTTCTTCCATAAGTAATTGTTTCATCTGGTATAATAGTAATTTCTTCATCTGATTTTTCTTCATTTTGGCCTTGCATTTTGCTGTAATTTTAAGAAATAAAAAACATTAGTAACATTCCAACATTAGTAATATATTTTAAACATAAGAATAGTTTAGAAAATGCTGAATATAGTTTAGAACATGCTGAAAATAGTTTAGAACATGATATCATACTTATATCACTAACAATTAAGAACACAACAAGAGGTATCACTAGCAAGAGGTAGATTTAATTATTGTTCTCTTGTTGCACTAAATCTAGGTATACATAAGCTTCATTAGTACTTCGTAATAAATGAATATACCTTTGCAATGGACATCATTTATCAAGGGCATCACAAAAACAAGTTGTTCAGGAATGTCACTAAGGATGAAAGTCTAACTGATCCGCACAAGAAGTACTACAAAAGTTGTCTTTGTAGACATTATATAGTTTTAACTATTTGAAAGATTCATTCAAGTCCAATGCATTTAAAGGTCTTTCAAGATTCAAGCAATTTCTAAACCAATAATCACCAACTTCCTCAAATTATTCCCAATTAAGGGAAGAGATCTCATATAAAAATAAAAAAGGCAACGAGACTTGTTCCAATATGAATACAAAACCACCCTGAATAGAAAAGAGCTAGCATTTTTGCAAGATTCAAGCATTTATTCTGACTGTTGGGAATCAGATCTCAGTCAAGATCAGTAACTATTGGCACCAAAGCAACTTTAGCTATACACTGACATCAGATCACTACTGCTATACAGTATACACTGATATCAGATCACAAACCTTATTAGTGGAAAGTACATCAGTTCAGACTTCAGAGTAAGAGAATGAAGCTACAAGTCTCAAGCTGGATAGATACTTGTCAGCATTTTGCAAATAGCATCTTTTCATAAACATATATAAAAGAATGGTGTATCATAAACAAGATTTAGAACATGCTGAGAAAGAGTTTCGAACATGCTGAGAAAGAGTTCCGAACATGCTGAGAAATAACTTGGAACATGCTAAGCTTATTTACAAATCACAGAAGTCTAATACATTTTGCACTAATAGTCTGATATACAATAATCAAGAGCAGCGTTGAAATAATTCGAACATAAATCGAACTAATTAATATGCAAAAAATCGAACAAAATAATTAGAACATAAATAAAAAATAAAAAAAAATAAAAATCGAACAAAATAATTCACGTAAATCCACTATTTCACTATCACCAATAAAAAAAAAAAGTCAAATTGGTGAATCGCGAAAATCGAACAAAATCAACAATGAAAAATGATAAATCATAAAATTCGAACAAAATCAGGAAAAATCGAACAAAACGTATATAAATGGTAAAATCGAACATAAATCAAACATCAAACGAACAAAATCGAGTATAGAAATCGCGAAAATCGAACAAAATCAATAATGAAAATCATAGGCGAAATTCATAATATTAGAACAAAATCTAAGAAAATGTACCTGATTTGAGCAATTTAGTTTGTTTTAGCAGCAATTTGGGCTAGATTATGGGATTTGTGGAGAGAGAAAGTAAAGAGGGTTGAAAGTTTGAGGAGAGAGAAAATATTGGACGGTTGGGGAGGGTTTAGGGGTAGGTTTTTTGTTTTAATCTTGACCGCTCATCCTAATCTAATCCTACGGATATGATTGGTTCTTATATAACTAAGATTCTTATATAACTATGAGTTCTTACCGGAACCCTCCCTTATATATATATATATATATATATATATATATATATATATATATATATATATATATATATATATATATATATATATATATATATATATATATATATATCATTCTCTCTTTGTCTCCGCTGCACAAATTGATTAATGTACTATGTTATGGAATAGGTGGGTATTAAATAAGAAAATTGATAGGCTAACAATATATTTGTATTATAATTTAGGAAAGAAAAACTTTAAAATAAGGGAAAAATTTAAAACAAGTACAAAAAGAGAACCATGTACAAATAAGGAAAACAAAATGATGCTCTTATAGGTTCATATGTGAGAATTCATACTTATATGAGAACTGATTTTAAATTTAGAACATGTGAGTAAAAGTTTAGAACATACGAGTAAAAATTTAGAACATGCGTCTGAAATTAAAATTTAGAACATCTGAGTAATAATTTAGAACATCTAAGTGAGTAATATGTTTAGAACATTTGATTTAAGAATTAGAACAAGTGATTAAAAATTTATAAAATCTGCTTTATGAAAATTTTAAACATATGAGTAAAATTTAGAAAATTTGATTTAAGATTATGAACATGTGAATAAAAATTTAGAACAAATAAATATAGAATATAGAAAGTGTGAGTAAAAAATTTAGAGCATACGAGTAAAAATATAGAACATACACTTTAAAATCTGGAACATATAATTAAAAATCTTAGAACACACATTTTAAAATTTAGAACATATAAGTTAAAATTTTGGAACAAGTTATTTAAAATTTATGATATTAAACTTAACTAATTTATGGTTTAGAACATGTGAATACTAAATTAGAACATTTGATTTAATTTAGAACACCTAAGGAAGTTTAGAACATCAGATTTAAAATTTAGAACATACAAGTAAAAATTTAGAACATAAAGAGTGTTCTCACATAAGAAAAATTCTCACAAGAGCTCCCCCTATATATATATATATATATATATATATATATATATATTATATATATATATATATATATATATATATATATATATACTAAAAATTGAAACAAAATATACCGTGACAAGTTTTGAACCACAAAATAACAAGGAAAACTAAACTCCACTAAATAGAGAGGTTGTTATATACATGCGGATGTACCGTACACCAATGAGTGTTTTGTTCTCATTTTGATGTTAGTTTTTCAATTAATCATCAAATGAAAAGCAAAAACTAACCTTAAGTTAGTTGAGTGCACGTGCAACCGGCTGTATATAACTAATTCTAAACTAAATAATATACTCAATAACTGAACTACTTTGATTATTTATCAATCAAGTAGGAATTTTATTTTTTATATATTAATTAAATATTTTTCAAAGAAAACTGGGCTTCTAATCAAGGAGCCCTAAGGGACCACTCCGGCTGCCCTGGCCTAGCTACGGATGTGCGTAGTATATCATTTAATTTTTTTATTTTAAAATAAATTGTGAATTTCCTCTAACAAATCATTCGTTTTATATTTAGATAAAGTTCCTAATCTAAAGATAATTTTATATTAATTAATTTAAACTTAAAAATCTCATTTTCCAATTAATGTGATCTTTGAACCTCAT